CTTGCCACCATTCAGATATTCGGGCTGCAATTCTTAAAGTCCCAACCCTTTCAGGAAGCATTATGCTGGGGAAGGTTGACCAAGCTTATAGAATGGAACAAAATGGACCCTTTGCCAGTCTGCACAGTCACTTCTATCCTTGAGAAGCTACAATTTAAGAAAAGCCAATCTTTCACAGTACAACATGTGACACCTCCACTGAGTGCAAAGTGGTACAGCTATGTAGTGGAACACATAAAGCACACGAAAAATAAGAGAGGAAAAACTCAAGATGAGACAGTAGACCCAAAAGCCAAACACGTGCTATGTAAGGAAAAACAAAACGAAGAAACAATTATGGCCATAGAATCTCTTTATTCAAACAGAAACACATACATACATACATACACACGCACGCACATGGGGAAAAAGAAAACAAAACAAAATGGCATGACGCAGACAACGCGAAAGGCCACTTCTCTCCTTTGTGATTTTAAGAGCTTCAAGAAATATTGCCACTTATATTGAAGAATGAGAGAAGAGGGAGACAGGAGGGGTACGAATCTACTGACCATCTGCAAGTACAGAGGGCGGAAGGTGTGTGTGTGTGTGTGTGTGTTTACTTCTTATACAAGAATATTTCCCAACACAACTTCTCATCCTACGCCAGATGTTCAGACATTGACCTGGTTTTCAATCTTTGTCTTGCTTCCTTCCTCTCCTATCAAGAGAACAGGCTGACATTAAATCCCCCTCCATTTCTTGGTTGAGTTTTGCCGTGCTCTTGCCCAACTTGGTAGATAGGGGGCAAAGATGACAAAGTGATTGTGGTTGCTTGGTTGCTTTCAAAAGAATTATACAGAAAAGTCCAGATCAGAGGAGGGAGAAAAAAACCCATGTAATTGTGGGATTGGGGTTGGGTGGAATAATTCTGTTTTCTAGGATTCACATGGGAGAATTATAATTGAGTGGGGTAAGGACTGTAAATGGAGACCCTTGATTGTCGTCAAAAAACCCCACAACGGTGGCATAATGAGGACACTTTGGAGCAAATCTTACAGGAAGGAGAGCCTGCAATTCAGGTCTACAAGGGCAGTTTGAGTCTTACGTATTACAAATTGTAGAATTCTCAGAAGGAACTCAAGAAATGGCAGCAGAGTTTTTCAAGAGTCAAAAAACTGCACCCACATAACTCGGAACTTTTCTTTTTTTTCTTAGTGGGGAGGGAAGAGGAGGAAATTTAAATTACATTTTAGGAATATGCTCTAGATATATAAGAAAACTCCTGTAATACGGATTCTGGTGGGGAGAGATGTTAGGCAATTGCTGCAGTGTGGACACAGAGTAGGCCAACATTCAAAGATTAAGGCTTATCTGTTACAGCATGGCTGGTGATTTATCCACAACACTGACATGAGAGGGAAAAAACTGTCAATAGGAAAACAAAGCAGTGATACAGAATTCCCTGCTATGCCTCTTAAAAAAATGAATGGCTTCTCCAAGGACAGCTTTGGCTTAGGCTGACCCCTAAGCTGTAGATTCCCCCACTTCTTAACTGAAAGGAAGTGATGATAGAATCTAGCGGTTTCTAATTCTAGCAATGCAGCTGGTGCTTGGGCCTGTGAGAAAGATCTCCTCTTTCACAGGTTATAAAATGGTGTTGAATCACCATAGGAAAAAAATGGCTAGAAAGGGCAGAATCCAATGGGAAGAGAATGAGAAGAGACCTGACAACCAAGTGAGCGGTGACTGCACACTGGGAGGGGATGGAATAAGAAGAATCAAGATGAAAACTTTTAGAGGTGCCAATCCAGGATTCACATTGGTATATACCAAATTCTAAGAAAGAGGTTTGAAGTCTTACTGAACAAATTGGTGGAAGATTCCAAATTAACCATGGGCAGTTCTGGCGAGGTGTTGCTAATATTGTTTGGCCAACAGATCAGAAAAGCCTTTTCTGCTTTTTCATGTGGACTACCCAATAAGTTCTCTTGAGGGGATTAGCTAAAAAGTCACGGGGGGGGGGGGCAGTGGATCCGGCACTTGATAAAATGCAAAACAGGGTTCCATCCCAACAGGAAAAAGAGACTGTGCATCTCATAAATTCCATCTCACATGCTGCTGTCCTAACCTTTACAGTTAGCAAAGCCCGTTATGCCTGTTTGAAGCAAGCCCATTTTAACCATCCTGTGTGATGCTTCTAGTAGTCACGCCTACCTCCCCATGGATCAAACGTGTAGATGGAGGGAGGGAAGAAGTGTGCTTGCAAGTGGGACATTCCATGGTCATGAAAAGGGGAGTTGCTTGATGGGTTTGCTCCCTGCCCACCTGACACTCCCCCCCCCATCAGAAGACTTCTGATATGATTCAAGCATCAATTTTAATTGCATCAAAGACAGGTTTACTCAGTGCAGCAGTGTGTATGAATGCATATTGAGGAAAGGGAATGCAGGGGGAGAGGCCTTGTGCCAAAGGTTGCTGCCCCTTGCCAGAGTAAGGGGGGGGAGAACACCGTTGCTGGGATTCCCAAACGATGTGCCAGAAGGGGGATGATGTTGCGACCCTCGTACACACATCCATTTCTCTCACAGGTGCTTGTTGGAACCAGACTCTTCAGTGATTGCTTGGGGGGGAGGGGAGAGAGGGAGAGAGGGCTGGGCCCTTTCGTTGCCCCTTGCTGCTTTCTCTTCTGCCCCCCGCCTGCCCATAGGGGTGAAGGCACCGGAAGGACTGGGGACAGTCCCTGGCAAAATAGACCGATCGAGCAAGCAGCCGTGGTTCTTTCCCAGTGACGAGACCCACTGAGTGCCTTTATCTGGGGAGGAACAGAAAGAGAGAGAACGGTTAGCTTTTTTGCCTCTTGTTTCATAGAATGTCATGCAGGTGTCGGGCAAACAAAATGGGAGAGCGTGACATAATCCAAACATTTTGCATCTGAATGTCAACTTGCATTCTCCAAAATAAGCTTCTAGCTCTAGTAACTTCAATATCTTTTTGTAAAGCAAGCAGCCCCCAGGTGCAGACAAGATGAGTGAACTAAGAGGACTGCCAATCAACACAAAAGATGGCTAATATCATGCAAGGTTGGAAAATAGAATCAAATGGCATGTAGAGCATTTTGCTTCAATTACTAGAAAGTAAGATAAAGAGTTATGTAGGGCAATGGAAATCCCATCCTGATTAATGGAGTCTTCATGGAGTTTTCCTCTTTAACTTCAAAGACTCTACTAAGTGTGCCAACCTATGTAATTCCCAATTGTTTTTTATAAGCTTTAATGGCTACGATTTTTTCCTTTTAAAGTCAAGTTAACGAACTATTAAGAAAGACACTTAAACTAGCAGTAGTTTCTCTGTCGAACAACATGGAAGCTGTAAAACACTGCATAGGTAGTCCTCAATTAGACCATTCATGTAGCAACTGTTTGAAGTTATGATAGTGCCAAAAAAGTGACTTACAATCAGTCCTTGTACTAATGACTATCACACTATTCCAGGGTCATGTGCTCACCATTTGTAATCTTTCCAGCTAGCTTCTGACAAGCAAAATCAATGGGGGAAGCCAGATTCACGTAACAACTGGGGCAAAAAAGGTTATAAAATTGGGTACTGTCATGTAATAATAGTAGTTATTTTATAACTGCTTGGTGACATAGGTTCTCATCCCAATTGTGGGCGTAAGTTGAGGACTACACAACTATACACAGTTGTGGAGGCAGGTCATAAAAGAACTATAATGACCAGGAAGGGAATATGTTTCTAACAGATTAAAAAAAATATCTTAATTTTGTTAATTATTATTTTAAGAAAAATATAAACAAGTGAAGAGAACCATAACATTTTGGTCATGAAGAGATCCAAAGCTTTGGAAGCAGCATCCAATGAAATAATTTGCAGTGGGATTTTAAAAGGCAGAAAGAAAAGCATTTGATTGTTACCACAGGTAGTTTTTAAAAGGAAAATGGAAATTACTAGTTTTACTGCTAGTAAAACACTGCTAGGAAAGAAATGCCGCTAAAAATTGCCTGTTTCAATTATATAAAAATGTGTTTATCCTCCTCGGACACAACTTTTTATGGCTAAATTATTTTCTGATCAAATGGCAATGACACAATCTCCAGAAGAAGAAGAAAAAGTTGGGAATATCACCATGAGATGATACTAGACTTTTCAGGCTAACAGTAAGGACTCTTGTTATATATTGGTCATTTCCCCCCAAATGTCAATATTTGCATGCTTATGTTGGTAAGAATACTACTTTTGTATGCATTCCTTTGTATTACTATTGCTTTATGTTTGTCAAAACAAAAACCATTGGCTGCAGTTGTGTCCAATGGGTTAACTTTATTTTTTTTAAAAAAAGGTTCTACTGCTGAGAAAATCCTATTTTCATCATTCTGCAGAACTATCAGGTTTGAGACTCTGGCTCCACTTATGTAAGTGATTCTGCAACTCATTGCGACATAATTAGACATTGCCCTCTCTAATCCTCCTAGCTTTGCATTTCCCAATGTGATTGCAGTGCCTCTGCAAGTGACTGGGAATATGATACTAAGAGCTTTGTATTTTTCAATTTCTTTCTCCATTCGCTGATCTGAGATGCAATGTGCAATGAATATTTCATGCAGAAAACTCTGTTCAGATGTCCCATAATTTGTTGATTATAGGGCATGTGAAAAAACTGCTTTTCTCCTCCTCCTCACTTGCCATCTGCTGCAGAACCGGCACTAAAATAGGCAGAATTTCTGGTTCAAAATAATTATTGTGGGGGTTTTTTTAAGCTTCAAAAGCAGAATAAGAAAATAAAAATAGTAGGATTAGGGGGAAGAGACAGGAAAGAGTGTGTTGTCCACACTACAGTATTGTGATTGAAGACGTCCAGAAAACCTTGCCTGGTAGCCTGTTTCCAACTACATCTAACTTCCACCCTTGCTGCTGTCTAATGAATAATCTGAGATTGCCTTCTTGCAACCATCAAATCCTTCTTCTGTGACTTGCTAATCCCAACAACCCCCTACAATATTTTACCTGGCTGCCGATGGCTGCTGTTGCTCTATCTGTGGGTTGATGTGCTCAGGTTGTGGTGTCTCTGTTGTCCCCTGAAGTGGCTGGGTCTGGCTGGAATCAGAGGTAGATGGGGGAGGTTCTTTTGTGCTGTCGAAGAAGGTGGGGGAAGGCAGGGAAAGAAACACTTATCTTAGCACGGTGACGTGGATTGCTTTTATATTCATGGTTCCAAACCATGATTATACAGTACAGTTTGTATTTATCCAAACAATGATTAAAACAATAGAGAAGACCTCATGGATCTGCAGAAAGCACCCTAAAGAGAAGAAGCGATCTTTTTTTTATTATTTTAGTTTTAATGGCTACAATTTCACATTTTAAATGTTTATTTTTCTAATCGGTCTCTCTCAAGCTGCCTATTCCCCAGCTCTTCATTTTGCCACAGTCATCGGTTCTGCTTTTCAGAGCTGTTTTCAATCTTCCGTTTCTTCCTCTTTTTTCATCAGCAGGATTTCCTGCTGATTCCAAGTATTCATCAAGTCTGACTCTGCTTAGGCTTTTGAGTTCAGCCAAGGTTAGTCAGGTGCTGCCCTCTAGTTGGGCCCTGGCCATATCAGGAGGAGTTTTCATTATCGCTAGTGCATACTTGCAGACCAGATATTCATCTTTTAACAATCCCTCCGAAGAACACAGAGTCAGTGGCGTGACAGGTCACATTTCAGAATTTTACCTGGCTACTGTTGTCACGATAGAAGAGTTCGGTGGGTTCCCCTCTTCTGGAGGGCCTGTGTCTGGGGTGGGAGGATCCTGTGGAACACTAGAGACTGCTATAAAAGAGGGGTGGGTGGGAGACCGACCAATCAGATCTAGATATGGGGTGGGAAATACATGTTCTGTACAGAGGAAAATGACAGTTCTAGAGGGAAAGCTACCATCTATCCCAAACATTCATTTCCACAGTGTTCTAATTTCTGAGGCTTTAAGGACACAGTAACTGTCTGCCCAACCCCCACTTGCTCCTTCTCCTATTAATATGGTTAGCCCAGGGAAGGGGAGCCAGTGGCTCTTCAAAAGTTAGTGGGTTCCAATTACTGTCAGCTATAAAGATAGTGGATGCTGGATAGCAGTCCAGCATGGGGCATCCAGAACATCCAACATGGGGGGAACCAAGGATCATCTAAACTTGCAGTAATCACAGGTGGATGGACTGTAGGTTGAATATTCAAGGAAGCTTTTAGGAACACAAGGCAGGAGACTCCTCCCGGCCATGCTTGTGAATGGAAGTGACCATTCAAAGATGTAGGAGAAGAGGTAAGTGGGAGAGGTGAGAGAGGCAGGTAATACAGGCTTTGTGTAAAGGATCAGAATGATGGACTTGAATAAAATAGGCTGAACTTCCTACCCAGATACAGAACCAACTGTATTCCACAGGATAGGCATGTTGTTCTTACAGCTTAACTAGCTTAACTAGCTGTTGCCCACAGACTCCCGAAGGCTCCATGGCCCCCAGATTAACCACCTCAAAAATCAAAGTTCTCACATGGTCCTAGGAGTTTCTACAAAATGGATCCACTACTCTCAAACACTGTTCCTTTATTACTGAATAGATTTTATAATAATAATAATAATAATAATAATAATAATAATAATAATAATAATGATGATGATGATGATGATGATGATGTTGGAAGGGACCTTGGAGGTCATCTAGTCCAACCTCCTGCTCAGGCAGGAAACCCTATACCATTTCGGACAAATGGCTGTCCAGTTTCTTTTTAAAAACTTCCAGTATTGGAGCATTCACTTCTTCTGGAGGCAGGTTGTTCCACTGGTTAATTGTTCTAACTGTCAGGAAGTTTCTCCTTACTTCTAGGTTGCTTCTCTCCTTGATTAGCTTCCATCCATTGCTTCTTGTCCTGCCTTCAGGCGCTTTGGAAAATAGCTTGACTCCCTCTTCTTTGTGGCAGCCCCTGAGATATCGGAACACTGCTATCATGTCCCCCCTCGTCCTTCTCTTCATTAAACTAGACATACCCAATTCCAGCAACTGTTCCTTATATGTTTTAGCCTCCAGTTCCCTAATCATCTTTGTTGCTCTTCTCTGTACTCTTTCTAGAGTCTCAATATCTTTTTTACATCCTGGTGACCAAAACTGGATGCAGTATTCCAAGTGTGGCCTTACCAAGGCATTGTAAAGTGGTATTAATACTACACGTGATCTTGATTCTATCCCTCTGTTAATGCAGCCCAGCACTGTGTTGGCTTTTTTGGCAGCTGCAGCACACTGCTGGCTCATATTTAAGTGATTGTCCACTAAGACTCCGAGGTCCCTCTCACAGTTGCTACTACTGAGCAAGGTACCCCCTATACTATACCTGTACATTTGGTTTTTCTTGCCTAAATGTAGAACCTTACTTTTTTCACCATTGAATTTCATTTTGTTGGATAGTGCCCAGTGTTCAAGTCTGTCCAGATCCTCCTGTATCTTAAGCCTGTCTTCTGGAGTGTTGGCTATTCCTGGTGTCATCTGCAAATTTGATGAGTAGCATGTTGCTACTCCTTTATAGTATTTGTGGAGACCACTTTCAGAGGGGACAGACATCTGGCAGAGTTGAATATAAATAAATATGTGGGTCTGTATGTGTGCAGGAGTGAAAAGGAAAGAAGTGGTGGACCACAAAGTCCAGAAAAGCCCGAGATGGTCTTAGGGAAGACAAGACTATTGGCAAGGGCAAGATGGCCCTCCTGTGGTAACTGCTGGAATGGAAGGATGAACAAGGCAAAGAGGAAAGCGGAAGAAACAGTCCCCATGTTTTTGGGTCCAAGTCTTGACCGGGGGAGGGAGCTCCTTCTGACAGGCTGCTACATAGCAACTGTTCTGGATGCCACTCAGCACTGGGGAGTATCAGCCAGGAGGTACACAACCATTATGGTTGATAGGAAATTATAGGAGACATTTTATATTAAGACATCGCCTCTGGGCTACCATACCTAGGACTTAGCAAATCTGATTCAGTTTCTATTATATGTGTATTATACTAATTACTGCATTAACTTGCAGAAATTACATGTGAAATTTTCATAAGAGCACACAAAGAGTTGTGCTGAATGAGAGTATTTAATCCAGGATTCAGTTTTCACAGCCCTCAATGGAAGCCCACAAGTAAGCCATAGACCAGAAAAATCAACTCTAGGAAAGCTAAAGCTACTTTTATTGGGATCAATTATAACAACAAAATCTTTTGAGTCTGATTGTGCTGTACACCCCACCTCTTTGTTGTATGTCAGTGAAATAGGGAGGCATCTACCTGAGCCACTTCTGATTGTTAACTTGCTGTTCTAGACTTAAAAATTGTTTCAGTCTAGATAATAGTTCCTGAATATTTCTGATAAAGTCATTTTCCTTATTCTCTACACATTTAAGATATAAGATAAGATAACCTTTATGGTCATTTTTTACTCTGAACACACTGGCCCACATTAAAAATTCTGTTTTTATATAGCTACCCATACATATACATAACACATATATACACATGCTACATATCTATATCACTGTCCATTTTGAACACATAGTGGAAATTTTTATCTTTCATCACAACTAATATGCAAAGGTATATAATATTTGATGCTGGAGGTAATATTATGATTAGGAACTGTTGGGAACTTTATACAAAGGAGCAGTCTAAATTGCCAACTAAGGCTACATTTGTGATAGCAAATTCCATAGTGTCATTATGCTGCATGTGAAGACAATAATAATATTTCTTAATATTTGCTCAGATCTTCCCAATGTTCAGCTTTGTTGGATTATCCCATAGTTTTAGTATTATGGAAAATGACATCAATTTTCTCAATACATCTTTAGAATGCCCTCCCTGGAGACAATTTTTCATAAACTAAAAGTCTCCAAACTAAAATCTTCCTGAGTATTTCTCTATTTTTTGTATGTGTGTGTTTTCCAGTTCTGTTGACAGAAGGATAAAAAAAAAACCTTATAAACTGCTGATTTGTAGAAAAGTAATATGATAGGTTGAGTGAATGTCACTGTTGTCTTTGTTCAGATTCTTATTCTCCTGAGACTGTTAGCTTTGACCACTTCAATACCAGCCTTTATATTTATTTATCCCTCTGGTGAAAATTCATATGCACTCATTTTTGTCCCGCTATGTACTTTTCCCTAGGGTTTTCTATGACATAATTTTGTATGAATAAATCACATTGATTTTTGGACACAATAAAACCGTTTCTGAAGAATCAGTGATGCTCACCTTCTACTTGGGACCCATTATTTTGTGCCACTTCCTGAGAGAGGATGGCTGGCTCTGTGAGCACTTTAGAACTAGCAAAACAAAATAATAATTGACAAAATTACCATCAGTCAATTGCAAAATGTTTTCCTTGGAACAGCTTATATCCTAAGATGATGCCTTTAATATTATTAACCACATCTGCCTATCCGTTATCCTTGAGAAGGACTTGATAGGTGGATATAAAAATCCCAGATCTAAATATCTAGCTGACTTCGCGACCAAACAAGAAAAAAGTCCCCAAATTCCCTCTTTTGCTGCTTTAAAATGATTGTGTGAGCCACTGAATTTGTTGTTTCTCCTCCAAGTTCCTCTTCTCATCACTTCCAATTCTGTTTGCCTGACACCCACTGGCAGAATGAGCAAACTCTGATCAATGACATTCAGCTAAGAAACAGGATAATTAAGCCCCTGTAAGATTTATCCATTTTACCCCTTAATATCCATTATGCTTCCAACACATGGACACAAGAAAGCCCCAGTCCCTGAAAGACATGATCCTAAAAGTCTAATTGATGTTCTCTTCACCCCCCCCCCAATGACTAAACATTTAAGTATTCCAAAGCCTCACCTCTCTTGTTGTACAGGGGGTTCTGGAAAGGAGGCCCAATTCTCATCTTTGCCAGAGCAGGAGGCACCTGAGTTAGGTTGGTCCCACACTGCTGCTCCTGTATCAGCTGCCACCAGTTGTGAGGATTTTGTAGACTTTGCGGACGGCTCAGACCTGTCTGCCCAGCTAGGATCTAGGGAAGACCATATTTGCACAGGAGATATTTATCTGGTGCTAGAACTTACTACAGGAGATAACTAGCACTATTGTTCCTGTAACTGTTAATAATAGTCTCCTCCAATCTATTGCTCACCAGATGTGCTGGGATGAGAGAGCTCAATATTCTGAAGTTACCATGATTATTGGACGAACATGTTGGGACTAGAAATCTTAACACACCAGGAGAGCAGATGGTTGGGAAAAGCTGGGTGCAATCCTAACATAATTGCCGATTTCTCTTTGGCATAAGGAAAATGAAGGTTTCCTCAATTGATTAAATGTACCGGTAAGTCAAAATATATTGATACAGATTAGGATGAAAGCCCAAATCAAACCAGGTTTGCTCTAACATCCAATTTTGTCTTGATCCTTTAATTATGAATTTCTGTGCTATTATGGTTTCTTGACTCACAAGATAGCAAAAACAGAAGGTGTATTTCGAAAGAAGAGTTTCAAGACACATAATTTTGTGCAAATAAGTTAACAAACTGGGCTATTTGGCAAGATCTTGGTATAATCAAATCTTGGCACAATATGGGAAAAGAGGCATTTTTTTTATTCAGCATTCCCTTACATTGTTATTCTTTCTTCAATTATACTAACGATGTCCAGAGATTGAGAAAAGGATGTTCACCTAATCCAGATCAGCTTTTCCCAAGAAAAGAGCTAATTATTTTTATGCCAAAAGACTTTTACTTTCAAGAAAATTATTTCCTAGCCATGAAATAAATAAAGGTGAAAAAAATGTGGTACTCCTGTTGTTGCTAAATATAAATTCCCAGCAACCCTGGGAAATAGGGCCAAAGGTGAGGAGGATGGGAGCTTAAGTTCAACAATATCTTCAGGGGAGGAAACTTCATAAATGGGGTGATTTGACAAAGCCTCACTTTGGTAGTTTTTCAAGGAATGTTATAATTTTTCCTTTATTATGCCATAATGTCACTTCTCTAATACTAGTGTTATTAGATCCAGTTGTCCCTCCTTTTTTCATTTGTAATATACTCATCATCATGCACTCATCTGTAATGAACATTGCATAAGAAGCAGGTGGCTATAACTGGTAAACTTAAGACGTTTCGCTCCCAAGAATTTTAAACCAGAATTAAGCTACATTCCTGAGGAAAGATCAGATTAAAAGAGAGAGGGTGACAGTCCTAAGGATTCAACTAGAGCACTGCAAATCAGCAGAGTTGTGTGGAAGAACATGTGAGAATGAAGCTCTCTGCCACTGTCAAGTATATGTCTTATGACTTAAATAACAGCATCTTGAGCCAAAGAAAGTCAGAGATACTGACAAGAAGAATCACTGAAATTGTAAGAAGCAAGTAGCTAGCTTGGCTAGGATAATACTCCTTGCAAATAACATAAAATTGTAACTCTCAGCAAAAGTGAACAACTATTAAAAAAAATTCAAACCTGGGTATTTTCTATAAAATTATCTGGCAAAAAATATTTCGAAACCTATATTTATTTATTAAATTTCTATGCCACTCATCTTTCCTATAAGGCGAGTCTCAGCCAAGTTGAAACACTGTTTATTAATGATGAGCATGTTATTTTATTGAATGTAGAGTAACGCTTATTTCAGAATTCACTTTTAAAGGGGATAAAGGCTATTTCATTCTTGTTCCTACCATGGACTGCTCCCATTTAGATCTTTTCCTCTAGTCCATTAAGTCTCATTACCAAAATAAGCAGAACAGTTTCAAATCAGGAAAAGAACTGCTGTTGGCAGCAACATCAGGAATAATCTCACCTTACTTCCTAGAGGAATTTATTTCCCACTATTAAAGGATGCCCAAACAAGCAGACAGCAGCTTGGCTCTGTTCCATCATTTATCCATCAACCCCAACAAACCAATCTCTGAGTTCTGACCTCCTAATGTTCTTTCCGCTTCTGTTTGTTCACCACAGCCATTGCTGACAGGGACGGCCTCTCCATCTCCCCCACCAGGATCTTCTTCCTCACCCCCTTCACCTTCTGAGTCTTCACTATCTTCACTATCTGTGCTACCGAGTCTTCTGCAAACGGGAGAGAAAATGGAAAAAAGTAGAGTTATTACACACTTGCCTACAGCCAGTTCTATTCCAGTGGACTCCTTTTTCTGCAGCTGTACATCACAATATGTGTTTAGTTTGGTGTTGGTTTAATATATGAGGGCTAGTCTGCTAAGGCTTGCTCAGCCAATCATGACTTAATTCCATGTATAAATATAGCCGTAGAATCAAACTACTGGTCCACCCAACCGTAATGTACCAATTTCCTCCTCTAAATTCCACTAAAAGAGGCTTTAAGCAATTAGAATTGCTGAACTCTATAAGCAATTCAGGCCTGCCAGTCTGATAGCATCATTACATTATCAATCCCAGCCTTATGACCCTTGGAGCCCAAATTGATTCTGAAAATGAAAATGTACTCCCTAGACATAAACATAAAATTTATTTATTTATTTATTAAACAAATGTGTATGGTCACCCAAAGTCACCCAAAGCAGGTGACTTCAGGCTGCTTACAACATTAAAAATAAAATAAAAACCCATAAACCCTCCCATCCGCACTCCCATGGCAGCAGCACCAGGTTGCATGTCCCTGCTACAGCTAACAAAGAAGAAAGAATCTAACACAAAGATACCATGTTTCCCCCAAAATAAGTTCTAACTGGAAAATAAGCCCTAGCATGATTTTTCAGGATGCTCTTAATATAAGCCCTACCCCCAAAATAAGCTCCAGTTAAGATCATCAGCTAGACGGACGCATTTAGTATCGTATTTTCCCTCAAATAAGACCTAATAGGAAAATAAGCCCTGATGCAAAAATGAAAACAAGACCTGGTCTTATTTTGGGGAAAACATGGGTATAACTGTTTCAGACTATTTCAGAAGGTCTAAAGCAGGGGTCTTCAAACTCGGCCCTTTTATGACTCATGGACCAACTCCCAGAATTCCTCAGCCAGGCATGCTTTCTGAGGAATTCTGGGAGTTGAAGTCCATGAGTCACCAAAGAACCGAGTTTGAAGACCCCTTGGCAAAATTCAAGAAAACAGCAGCAACATGAAATTCTGGAGCCAAGCATCCCAAAATTGTTGAGGGACAGCAAAAAGTGGCCCCAAAAGATTAATGCAAGTGACAATAGTGGCAAGAGAGGAAATAATATCCAATGTAGGAAAAAGCTCAAAAAAGAGTTTAAAAATTAAATGATCTTCCTTCAGTGATACAAACTGCACTTGAAAATAGGAAGCAACAAGTGCTATATTTATCAGATTAGACATACTTGAGAAGAGGAAAAAAAGGGCTTCCAAAACTGAACATCTATTTTTGCTTTTGTTTTTTGAATGGGGAGGAAGGGAGGAATGATATGCAGTTGGGAGTAATAAGAGCTAGAAGTCTGGACCTTGAACAGAGAAGCTGATACTGCACACTGAATCATCTTCAGCTTCAATTTCATGGCTACTAAGAATTGTCTTATGTATAATTAAGCACTTTAAGCTACGCTAAACACTATTCATGCCATCCGCTCCAGCTTTATTCGCTCACTCCCATTTTACAGAAGCGGGCAGCTGACAAAGCTCCATCATGCAAGAATGTGTGACAGGACCCGAGAAGTTCTCTTCGGGCATGGTCTAAATATGACCCACAGTTTATTGGTAAACATGATAAAGGAAGTTTCCCCTCAGCTTCATTAATAAGCGGGACAGGGAGACAGAATGGGAAGAACATCCCTGTAAAATGGAAACCTCTTGTGGAAAACCTTCAAGGATCCTGGGAAGGAGGTTGCCTGCATGTGCCTTCAACACCCCCAGCAAGAAAAAACATCTTCCCAGCAAGTCTAAAATTTCTTATCTTAGCACACTATTTTGATCCAGTTTGCATCTCTGTTTGGTTTCATTTTGCATAATTCCTCACCCAGTCTAGTGAAAAGTTGATGATGACAGGATTGATCTAAAGAGGCAGAACATATTCATAAAATGAGAGGTGGGCATGCAAAGGCAATGGAACAACCGGGCAGAAACCATCAAGGCATATGTACTTCATGCAGGAGAAGCATGAGCTAGCTTAAGATGCAAACAAGGAAGAAGATTTAACCCTAATAAACCAAGCATAATTGTAACTCTCTGGAAATAAAAGCGTGAATTATTTAAATACACGACGATATGCATTTAAGAAAAGAAAAGAAAAAAAAAAGGGGGGGGATATAAGCGAGAGAAATCAATCCTTAGCCCAAAGGGTGGTGATGGAATCCTCCAGAAGCTAATACAATGGATTCTTCCCTACCTAACCGTCATAGACTGTGCAGTACCCGAAGTGATAGTCCTCTCCTTCTCCTGCCAGATGTCCTCCCCATCAGAGCCATCGGCCTCTTCATCATCATCAAATTGCTGAATTCGCTCCTTGTAGCAGATGTCGAAAAGGTTGGCGTTGGGCTGCAGGAAAGTGGAGAGCAGAGACAGATTAGAGCAGTGGCCGAATTTAGAAAGGAAATAGATATAGTTGTTGTCTTTGTTGTTATTACAAGTTGCCCTTTAATGACTGTCTATAATAATAATAAAGTTGGAAGGGACCTTGGAGGTCATCTAGTCCAACCCCCTGCTCAGGAAGGAAAACCTATACCATTTCAGACAAATGGCTGTCCAGTCTCTTCTTAAAAACTTCCGGTGTTGGAGCATTCACCGCTTCTGGAGGCAGGTTGTTCCATTGGTTAATTGTTCTCACTGTCAGGAAGTTTCTCCTTAGTTCTAGGTTGCTTCTCTCTTTGGTTAGATTCAGATTTTGGCTTCTCTATGTACCTGCCGAAGCTATGTTGCAAATTAAAGATTCTTTAAGGCAGCGGTTCTCAACCTATGGGTCGCGACCCCATTTGGGGTCGATCGACCATTTCACGGGGGTCGCCAAGCAAGCATGTCCGCCATTTTTTCCACTTTTCTGGCGGGTGCCTTACCTCCCTTGGGCTGGGCCAGCTGGTGGTCGGCCTGTTCCGTCTCTGCCGCTTGCCAGCTACGCCTCGGCCGGCGCAGGGGGTGGAACCACGCATGCGCGGCGCTCCCGGGCAGGGAAAGTCCTCAACTTATGACCGGTTGGGTAGTCCTCGACTTACGACCGGTTTAGTCCTCGACTTACGACCGGTTTAGTCCTCGACTTACAACCGGTTGGGGGTCGCGGCATTAAATAGGTTGAGAATCACTGCTTTAAGGTAAAACAATGCCTCAAAATTCTTTGAAGAGCTTCTTCTTTCGGAACCATGACATCAAAGCCAAAATCTGAATTCTCCTCCTCCAATACACAGAATCAAAGCATAACTCACTCCTTCATTTAACAGTCATTAATCACATTATCCAATTAGTTTGAAGTGTGAACTTTCCCTCCTGTTATCTCCTCTTATTACAACTAACTTTGAAGAATACCCTACTGAGATATTGTTATGGCTAATTAATCCCCAGCACATTCTTCCCCCTACCCTCCATCTCTTTTAACTCTAAAAGTAATACACAGGTTAAATAGGAAATGTCTGCATCTTTATATATTGTCAAGCACGTCCGATGTTAGCAGCATGGACACTGAGATCATAACAAGTGACTGAATCCTGGACTAGCAGTGGGAGGAACAAGACAGCAGAGGTCACCTGAGAATGGGAGGCGTAGGACACGTGGAGGAGTGCAAGGCGGCCAAAAGGTCAGAGATAAGGGGGAGACAGGCAGGTGAGGGGAGTTCAACAGGAGGTGAGTGCAGCTGGGTAATGCAATCTCACCTGCCAAAAGGGAGCTACCCAGAACCAGCTGGGGAGCAGACTCAGCAAATTTGTGCAGGTAGGAGAACTGTGAGGTCTTTGCCTAATGGCTGCAATTGGGACTATTATTGCTGAGCAGCGAAGTCACGTAATATTTCACCTAATAACTGCTTCCGTTTAGCAATGGAAATCCCAATCCAAATTAGGGTCGTTAAGGGAGGACAAGTGATACAAAGTGGCAAACATGTCTAATATTCATTCTTCCTGTTTTCTCCCTCAACACCAATAACACTTACACTGTCATCATCTGCATTCAGTGAGAAGGTGATGTTGGCCGTTTTGTCAAAAGGAGCACTGAAATTTAAAAAAAAAAAAAGGAAACTATGGTGAAGACCAGAAATCAGGATTGCATTCTTAGATGGGAACAATACAAGCCTAGTTTGGGGGAAAAACAGTGAAAGAAGGAAGCATGTGCTGTGCTGTGCTGAAATGGGAATTTATCCCCCTTCTTTTTCCTAAACTCTTCTAATAAAATTCCCATTTCCAAAGTACTTTAGGAAGAGTTGAAAACATTCCACATAAATCAGTAGTTATCTCTTAATGCAAACAGGCGTCAGGGTATCTACCTGTCCAAGGTTACTAAAACAATTAAGTTAATAGAGAAAGGATAGTTTTTAGTTTACTTTATGATTTCATCTTAGTTACATTACTGAATCTCTATTTAATAAATATAACTTTCTTGTTAATATAATATCTGTCTTCCTGCAACAAATTTAAACTGGCAGTCCCTTTTCTATACGGGCCACACATTTACAGGTGTGTTTTTAATTTTTTGTTTTCTATATGGAACCTTTAATGCTACGCAATGTATTTCAAACTCTGTTTACCAAACTGCCTTGCACTAGCTCAAGTTTTATTCTTTATTTTAGATGTATATACATTAAAAAGAGTTGTATTAGCTTTATTTTAGAACTGTGCATTGATTTGCGAAGGATATTGCTTATATTAAGAAATATTTTAATAAAATAAAGATGAAGTCTCCTTTGAGTTGAGATATGGATATAATTTACCATTACATTCTTCTGGAAACTCTTTCTTACTTTGCAACCTAGTCTAAATTCTGGAATTTCCTCATGGTCTCTAATTTAACCAGGTCTGATCCTGCTTAGCTTATTGAGAGAAGCCAAGGTTAGCTTTGTGTGGCCACCTGCCATCAAAAGGAAAGTTGTTCAATAGATGTCACAGAACAGATTCATATCCAAGCCCAAAGAAAGTGGCTGCAGAGCCCAAACCATGTTCTGTCTTGTCTGACAAGCATTTGAACCAGTTTTCCAAGTCACCCACCAACCATTGCTATAGTGTCAGATCAGTTTCAATTAATTTTATTTCTCAAGAAGCAGACAGCAAAGCCCCATTTTAAGATAATGCAAAGACTGGGCTCAGAAGGGACCTGTGTAAAATACTTCTGAGCTTTCATCTACTCATGTTTCCCTAGATGAAATCTTTGTATTTATTTGAAGTGGTGCATGTATGGAGAGATGGAAAGGAGATATGTATGCTGTTGGCCTCATCTTTGTATTTAAAAGAAGAAGAGCAGCGCATTAGCATTTACCTTTTCAACCGTTGGAAGTGAGCGCTGCAGGCCACATAGGCAGAAAAAGAGAAAGAAAAAGGAGAGAAAGAAAGAGAGGCAGACACATGAGGTCAGGAGACTTGGAGAAAGGAAAAAAAAAACTGCCTGGGGATGGAATGAGGTGCCTGTCAATAAGGTCTCCAGCTCCCCCCCTTTCAATAATTAGGTCACCCAGGTCAAACATCATGCTGGAACTGCCACAACAAAACAGACTGGCAAAATAGGAATGACTGGACAGTCTTGACTAAGAACATCAAATCTTTAGTTGCTAACATGACTTGAAAAATTAAGACACCCTCCCCTTTTTCAGGCAAGGCTCTGTCATTTGGCAAGCTGAGCAAAGCAAGCTAGAAGCCAGAGCCTCTGGGATGGGAGCTTTAATTCAATGAAATCCAATTTCCAAGTATCAAATCATCCTGGCTTCCAAAATTTTAAAGGAAACCTCTCTGCTTGTGGACTTTCTCAAAGCAATTATCCACAGGTTGATGGACTAGGAGAGTCTTTGATCTGATCAAATAAAGCTCATTTTATGTTCTTATAAAAGATAAATAAAACATATTCCCTCTTTCGGAGAGGTCAAGAAACACAAAGATTTCATGAAATGGAGTCCTGGCTGTGCAAAGGCAAAGAAAGAAGCATCACCACTCATATAATCCTCTCACATTCTCAAAAGAAGCCAAGCAAATACTAGCTCATGGGTCTCAATGAGATGGAATGAACACCTAGCCAGCCTTCCCCAGATAAGGTTTTCCCAGGTATTTTTTATCTGACTGCTATCATCCTTAGGGCGGCATGGTGGCTCAGCGGTTAGGGTTCTGGGCTTGCTGATTGAAAAGTCAGCAGCCCAGGTTTGGGACCCAAGAGCCATGTGACAGGTTGAGCTCCTGTCCTCACTTCAGCTCCTGCCAACCTACCAGTTCAAAAGCATGCAAATGTGATAAATAGGTACCACTTTGGAAGGAAGGTAACAACATTCTGTGACATCATGCTGGCCACATGACTGAGGAAATGTCTTCGGACAGTGCTGGCTCAATGGCCTTGAAATGGAGATGAGCCGGCAACTAGCAGAGTAAAAACTAGTGTAGTAAAATCTGCAGGAACTCCTTTACCTTTTTTTTAAGCATCCTTAACTAAAATGAAATTATAGGCTCTATGGTCCCTAGCGTGCCAGTTGGCATACAGGTCCCAAGAAAGGCATCTTCTTTGACATAAAACAAGCTCTTTGCTCTGTCAGACTTTTAAAAGGAATTTTAAAGAATTCATTTAATGAAAAAAATGTTGCAAAGCAAAGTGCCAGTTGTGAGTATTCACTATCTCCACGAATGCCTCTGGGTCACAAATAGATTCCATGACTTAAATCCATATTTTGTAAGTAACTATGCCCTCCAGTAACTATTTTGGGAATGGGATAACAAGTTGCATTCTTGTAGTGTCCGTAACACTTTCTTAAAATCAAATTCACAAGTCCAAAAAGGCTGGGGATCCAGTTATAGCTCAAAATGTAAGGATGATCCAGATGAGGATTGCTGATCTAACCTCTCCAATGGGTTATTTTACTGGGACCAATAACCAAATCTGCAAGATGCAAGACTATGCATCTTTGTAATTCTATGACAAACTGCCAGGCACAAGCACATGCAAATCAAATGCTCCTGAAATGTATTCAGTGAATAATCTAATTCTCATTAATTAATTTACAACTGAATTATAGGAAATTATAATCAGCAGAAATTAAGGCCAGTGAAAGGCAGATGTCCCTTTGCATACACAGACCAAAGGAACATAATTTAATATGTGAGGCTTTAGAAACCCTTAGTCTTGCTTCTGGATCCTGCTTAAAATCATGCTTCCTTTCCAGAGCAGACAAAAATCAGCTGTGCCATGCTATTGTCCTCACAGGAGGCAAGGCAATTCTCAGCCACCAAAGAGCACATTAAAAGGGGCCTAGAAACAGGACATGGAGAAAGGCAAGGGGGGAATGTGAACACATCACTAACTTGACATTCTCTTCTTGCTCGCCAAATTCTTCGTCATGAAAACCAAAGTGGTCAATAAATGAAGTCATCTGTTGCATTTGATAACCTACGAAAGCCTATGAAAAAAAGTAATAATAGGAAATAAGCATGAATGATAAATAGCTCAAAAGGGAACGGCGGAGTGAGAATTTTATTTATTGACTAAATTTATATAGCCAGTTGCAAGCCAAAACAGATGATTATTAGATCTGATGCATCTAAGAACGCATGGAAATTCTTTTGCCTGAATAAATCTATGTGCTTTCCAATAGATCCTAACAGATAACATCTGGCTTGAATTCATTCCAAGTAGCATCAATCCGATTCTGAGCACAAGATGTAAAAGTTAGTAAGATAATAAAAATGAAACATAATGACTGGGCTACTGCTGGCTCTTCTTCTTCTGTATGGTTTTATATTGGGGTGGGTGGGTGGTATTTTATTTGGGAGTTGGTTTTATAATATTTTATTGTATGGCTTGTTACTATGATTTTCTACATGGCCAGAATCTGACCATATACAATGACTACATTAAAGAAAAGAATACCAAGATTCTATATCCGTTGCCTCCAAATACAGGTGGTGATTATGCTGAGAAAGGTGGGGAGCAGGATAAATATCTTTTCCAGAAACTTTCCGCACATATTGCTGTCTCCAAGGTGGGCGCTGCTGCTTACGTAAGCACTCTTACTTTCATAACACAGATGGAACATTCCTCTGAAAGAGGAGAGGCTATTTGTCAGAGGAATCAAGGTTTCTGCGTGGCCGCCAGCCAGAAAGGAACATGCTAAAATATAGAATCTAGACCCCCTCAAGGAGTCTTAATCTCTCAGATTAAAGGTATGATGCTTTTGATGTGTTGATTATTTACTTAATTACAGCATATGTCTGTAGAGGAAAAGACAGAGGGAGTGGGAAATGACTAAAAGGACTTTTGGAGCAAGCAATGTGTTTTTAGGCACAAAGCCCACAGAGCTAAAAATATTGCCCTTGGTTCTTAAATAAACAAGCACATGGCAGACAGGTGATAAGGGTATGGAGTACAAATGCCTCCTGATAGGAATGGACAAGGCCACTTGCCTGCTGTAGGACAGCCTCCTGAGGGAAGCTGAACTCCTTGAGATCGTTCTCATCATCATCGCTTGATGAGTGGAGATTGTGCAAGTTAACCTGAAGAAGAAAAAGATAATTAGTTACAGGGTTCCTTCTGAAAGCGTCGTGAATATAAAGCAGAGATTTATTTGCCCAGTTTTCAAGAAATACCTTAACAGAAGCTCAAATTCTGTCAATACTGAATTTTCAGCAGAGACTCAAGTCCTCAGATTAGCTGAACAAGCTCCCGTTTTCTAAACAGTGCTTCCCCACCCCTGGTTTGCTGTGACTTTGATACAGAGTTCTAGCTTTTCAATCATTATGGACTATTTTGAAAGGGGCAGTATGACAAAGATGCCAGGAACCCAGGGCTGAAGTGGGTAGCTGCAGGTGACTTAAATTACGGATCCTCTGGCTACATAGGAAATAGAGTGCATTCTTAGAAATACCAATAGAGAGTTCACTAGTAAGTTCCCCAGATCACTAGCCAAGCTGAGCCATCTGGAGAAATCTATTTCTAAAATTTGCGATGTAATTGAAGTTTAGCATGAAGAGTGTGAAATTACTAGGAAATGCTTCCTTCAATTAAGAGAAGATAGATATCAATCTCTGGTGGAATAGTTTTCACAACTCTGCCAGAGATTTTATATAGAACCAAGTCTAGAACACTATAATAAGCATAGAAAAGAAAAAAAACTAACTAGATCCACAGTGTTCTTCTTATTGGTTTCTGATAAAGGTCCCGAGACAAATTTTTCCCACTGTTCTTGGTCTTCTTCAGGCATCTCTGAAAATCAGAAAGTGTAAGTAGCCTAAAGCTGGGGAATGGAAGGAGAAGGCAAATAAATACACTGAGAAATAAGCTAGTTGCCCAACCTGGGAGCTGCCTGGTGTGTGTGTGTGTGTGTTGTGTATTTTCGCATGAGTGGCCAACAAGCACGCACACTCACAAATGGAGTGCACATGCATGCCTACTGCTTCTGCGGTCCAGTTCCAAATGGCTCATGGCCCAGTAGTGGACCACAGCCCAGGAGTTGGGAACATCTGAGCTGGTCCACAGGATGCAACAGAATTCAGGTGTCAGAAAAAATAGTGGCCCATAGTAACTAGGAGCCAGACAGCCTCAAAGAAATCAATGAGGTAACCTTTTCCTTGTTTGAGGAATACAGACAGGTCCTTCCATAAAATTATGACATATTTTAACCTTGATTTATTGGCAAAACCTTTGTGCCTTAGTTCATGCAGAAGCCAAAATCAAAAAATCATCTTTGTGTGAAGCCAGCCACCTGTGGTTCGCAGCTGTTCTGGCTACATTGTGTAAGGTGGGCTTTTTTTTTTGCTACCAAGAAGTATTTAGGTCCTAACTCTAGCCACATTTAGTAAATAATTGTGTGGCAATTTGCAAGTTCATAGCAAGTGGAAGTATGAAAAGTAACCATTAATTTAGCCCACTATTGGAGGATTCTGGAGTTGTAGTCCTTCATATAAAGTTCAGGAAAATTTATTCGGGTTAATTGATGCATATCTCCCCTCTAAATCTTTTGGTCAAGTCCTCTTTCTCAATCCCTAACAAGACTACAAGCTATTTTCCCAACTTCAAAACTGCCCATTTATAAACACACAGAACATTTGCAAAATTATATGCATTCAATAATTTAAACTAGCCTTTCAAGATGTAAAACCACAGAACAGCGAATATTAACCCTATTTTGGCTTATTCGTGTCTCTACCTTAGCTGAAAATACCCCCTGCCCGACACACCTCAAATCTTCAATGGGAACCCATATTTTTCCTCTCCTAAAAGGCAGGAAACAAACTCCTATACAGTTTCCCCAAACAGCTAATTTCAGCAGCTAAAAAGGTACTTTAGCCAATCCTGAACAAGAAACATAATCTTCACTCCCTGAAGCTGCCCCTCGCATTACCTTTTAAGAGCTGCTTGATGAGATTTGAATGAGGCCACTTCTCAGAGCCTTGAGCTAAGGCATTGGCAATCCGGGTGAGGTGCCCCATATAGCCCATGCGTCTTCCCCCATCCAATCTGTAGGAGATGACAGAGAGAATGGAGGCTGGTGGTGGCTGTGGGTATGACTTGCATAGTTTGAAAAAGAAGAAATAAACAAATGACAAGAGGAAAGGAGACTTTAGTGCTTCTATGGAGCTCATAAGTCGAAGCTATTCCGATTGGTCTGCATGCAGGGAAAAGAAAAGGATCTCCAGATAATCCTTCAATGCCCAGCAACTCCAGCCAACAGGGCCAATTTGAAAGATGCTGGAAAGTGCAGTTCAGCTCTTTCTGGAGAATAACAAATGAAACTGTTTTGTGAAGAAAGAAAAGAAGCCAGTAAATACCTCCATGAAAACCATGAGTAGAAGAGACTAAGCAACAGGGGCCTGAAGCATGAGGGAAGGAGCAAAGAAGGATCAAGATATGGAAGAACTCCTTGGGACTCTTTCTGAAGGAAGAGGAGGAAGAAAGGAGAAATATCTAACCAGGAGACTAAAAGTTTCACCATAACTACTTACTGAGACTGCTCATTCTCCTCCCAGGCAGATAAAATTCTTTGGATTAAGCGACATTTCTGTAGCAACTACAAGGAGAAAACAGGAGACAATTGATACAATACCTGCTAATTATAGGGGCACCAATGCTTATACCTCAATAAAAGACTAGCGGGGTTTTATATGGCTATTTTTAAAAGTTTCCAGGGCTCATCAGTTGAACACAAAAGTCTAAGCCGAGAGGGATGGTGATGGCTTCTGCCCAAAGACAAAAAGGAAGACTTCTGAGATCAATTGTTAACCACTTCCTTAGATACTTCTTCCAGCTTGTTAATAAGCCAGGCATTCACTTCTCCAATAGAAGAGAATATTTGTAACTCAGAGTTGAACTGTGGTGTCCTTGGTGCTCTCTGAGCTTGGTTGTTTTCTTGAAGATGTTTCATTACCAACTAGGTAACATCATCAGTGGTAGAAGGGGGTGAGATTTGCATCACTGATGATATTACCTAGTTGGGTAATGAAACATCTGTAAAAAAACAACCAGGCTCAGAGAGCACCAAGGACACCACAACCCCCTCCTCTTCTTGTTATTTCAAAGTTGTCTCATTCCCTTTATACTTACAGTATATGGTTCATTTCAGAGTCTCTGAAATAATCCTGACCTTCAGTTTTATCTCCTTTCAATTTCCAAACATCAGGATTCAGGATCAAAGCAGAGTACTGCTTCTCTCATCAATGACACAGAAGGATCTTGAACCCACAGACGACCCACATAACTTACATGTTGGATGACTGGACTTTCTGGGTGGGGCTCTGGGTGGTTCTCTATCGTTTCATCTCCAACAAGGGGGCTGAAAATGTTGCTAAGGCAGGCCTCCACCTGGGCGTGCAAGAAGTTGTTGTAGGTATACTTGAAGTAGAGGTTCTGATAGCGAGAGACAAAAGAATAGAATAGCAGGTCTTTATTTATGCCTTTCAACCAATACTTCCAATTATTGTAGTACCAGATTTCCCCTCAGATATGGTATGGCATGGAGCACCGGCAATACGATGTTTCCCCGAAAATAAGACTTGGTCTTTTTTTTTTTTTTTTGCCTCCAAAAGAGGCACCAGGTCTTATTTGGGGGAGGGGTCTTTTCCACAGTCTCACCTTGTAGCAATGGCACTGACAGCCCTGCCTAGCTGGCCCACTTCTTCTGCTGCCACTCACCGCTGCTCACACGTGTGACCCCCAGCCTCCATTTTGCTGTCAGAGGCCTTCAGGAAATGCTTCTGCAGTTGAAAATGGAGCTCTGGGTAGCTCGGTTCTTGGCTGCAGAGGCCTTTCTGGAAGGCCTCTGAGGGTGAAATGCAGGCCAGGGGGTGCTGCGCGCATCAATCCAGAGCTCCATTCTCAGCTGCAGAGGCATTACCTGAAGGCCTCTGACGCATGCAAGCGGCCACAGAAGAAGTGGCCAATGTTAGGTGTCGATTCATGGGAGGCCTGGCTGCAAGGATTAAGCGGGTACGGGGCGCGTGGGACAGCTCTACCCCCCCCAGCTTTATTTTTAGGCATGTACCTAGTCCCAAAACTAGGGCTTATTTTTGGGGTAGGGCGTATATTAGGCCCACCCTCAAAAATCAAGCCAGGGCTTATTAATGGGGTAGGTCTTACTTTTGGGTAAACATGGTAGGTGTATGTATTCCGTGTTTTGTATTTTTATTGAGCCATTATGCAGTTTTAAATTATCTTGTAACAGGGGCACACAATATGGTCCAGAAATGTAGCAGTTTCAAAGAAACCTGAGATGCTCTTAGTTTTAATGGAGGCAGCTCCTGAAATATAATTGATTATGTAGCCATATCAGAAACATATAGACAAATCTATGCATAATTTGATTCTTTCTTATCAAATATACATTTTGGAGATTTATATTAATATGTTGTTCTTAGTTAGTTATTTTGGTTTGGCTTTTTAAAAGATTTTTTTTAACCCATTTTTTTCACATACAATTCAAGGAGGCAAACATACCAATATTCTTTCTTCCTCTTATTTTCCCCACAAAAACAATCCTATGAGGTGGGCTGAGTGTGTGTGTGCCTGGCCCAAAATCACCCAGATAGTTTTTCATGCCTCAGGACTAGAACTCAAGAGTCTCCTGATTCCTAGGTCAACACTTTAACCACTAGTCAAATTGGCTTGCTCTCTCTTTTGCTGGCTTAGGCAATATTATTTTAGCAATGAGATAATCTGTTGGATGGGTATATATTACAACTATTTTATTTTTTTTTAAATGCTTCTGATGCTGTTTTTTTTTAAATGGCATTACAAAAATCCAGCCATATGGGTTTAGGTATCAACAGTGAGTTGATGATATCCAATTGTTTATTTTAGCTCCTGGTTGCCCAAATGATGCGGCTGAAGTACTATCTTAATGTCTAGAGATTGTATTCATGAGGAGAAAGAGGCTGAGGTTCAATCTAGGAAGACTGAAAGACTGTGGATTTGGGAACCACAGGATCCTGAAGACAGACAGATAGACAGACAGACAGACAGATCTACCTACCAACCTATCAGAACTTAGATGCAATCTAGGGAGCCGCTTGGACTCAGGATTCCTACGCAAAAAAATAAAACTGAGAAGGAAGCTCTTTGCATGAACCCATCTTATGCATCAGTTGCACATGATCCAGGATTGGGAGGCCCTGCCCTTGGATACTCATGCCTCAGCAACCTTTCGTTTGGATTACTGCAATGAAGTCAAGGCTCTAGTTGTCTCCTGCAAGGCCCTTCAAAGCACAGATCAAGCATTGTTGAAGTACTATCTATCCAGCTTCCTCCATAATATCAGATGGGTTCTGTGCCCCATATATGCCCCATCTATGAAATGGTGTCATTTTGTAGGATCCAGGAAGTGTGCCTTCTCTCTTGTTATGTTTGCCCTGTGGAACAGCAGGTGCCCCACCTTGCCCCCAAGTCCTGAATGGCTTGGACCTTTAATAACTTTAAGAAAGGTCTTGAAGACCTGGCTGTTCCATGAATGAGCCAACAATGTTTACTAATTGTTATTATGAAATGAATTTTGACTCTGATGTCATAGATGTTTACACACTGTATGTCTTCTGTCATTTTTTTCCTTTTCTGAATTTTTTATTATTTATAGTTTTTAGTTATTTTTAATGTTATGAACTGTCCAGATTTGTTTCATAACCATATAAATTGAATTAAATAATTTTGATATATTATATATGAGGAGGTATTACAGGTGGTCCTCACTCACTGGCTGTAATTGGGATTGGCAATTCCATTGCTAAGCAATGTGTTTATTAAATGCAATAGCACATGACCACATTGATTTATGTCAGTTTCAGCTGCAGTCGTTAACATAATCACTATGAGTCATTACTTATGACATCATTTGTCCTCAACTTGCTACTTCCTGATGCCTCCCCATTGACTTTGCTTGTTAGAAGCCAGCTGTGATAGTCACAAATAGGGACCATATGATTGTGGGATGCTGCAACCATCCAATGTGTGTGCCAGTTGCCAAGTGCCTAAATCATGACCATGTGACTGTGAGCATGTTGCAATGATTGCAACTTTGAGGACCAGTTGTCTCATTTTTCATTGCTATCAGAGCTTTGAAGAGTTGTTGAATGAGTGGTCAGTACTGGGATTGATTCCGAGCTGGCTCATTTTTTTGTACGAGTCCTTAAGCATGATCCTTAAGCTACAAAATGTTACACACCTTTACCTTTTGCCTCCTGCTCACAAAGGAAGAGTGTCGCACTGTAGCTTTTAAGAGGCAGCCAAATGCTTCGCCCACAGATCAGAGAGAAATCCCAGCAAACAGTGGCAGTACTGATACTCACCAACATAGTGTCAAGGGCCCCAAGTTCAATGATCTCATCTCGCAGTGCTGTGTTGTTTGTACCCAATGAGCTGGCCAGCAGCTTCACGACATGCAGACGAGTGTTTCCTAAAGGAGGGTCCAGGACCCCCCAGGTAGTCTGCAGGGCCTCTTTCTGTTAGAAGAAAAGTATATTTTTTTTAAAAAACATCTCACATCTAGCGCTCCCCTCCCCATCTCTAATGTTCCAAAGCTTGAGCGGGCGAGGCCAAAATTTTTCTCTTGGAAAAACTGGCAGGGGCAGTTAAGATGTAAAACAGAGGGCCTTGCCCAATTTAAAATCTTGCTCCCCCACCTTTAAATAATTCCAGCTCCACTACTTTCAACATTTCTCCCTATCTCCAAACTAATAACTCTACCCTAAGAACATATATACAGATTTTTTTTTAAAGATACAAAATCCATTTCCAGCATTTTTCATTGCTTGGCCATATGTTCTTTCATATGGCAAGCGCTAAATTTACTAATTCCCAAGCATGTATTCTCAAATGTCTTGATAAAACTAAACTCCCCAGCCCTTGCACTGCGTAGTCCAGTGTTAACGCACTGAAGGTTCCATGAGGGAAACAGGGGAATCCTTCTGTAACCAACATTCTGGAACACTTAAAACGCCATTGGCACTGCTACTTCCTTCCCTGCTGTTTCAATTGTACTCTTATCTTGCCTGTACACATGCACGCCTACTAACCTTTGGTGGATCAAGGAGCAGCCGATGAAGCTCCCTGAGACGCTGTTTGATGGCTTGCAGAGTGCCCAAACTGGCCTGGCTGGAAGCCACTTCACAGCTGGGACCAGTTATCTCCATCTGCCCCTCCAGATTGCAATAAAAGCCCCCTATGCCACCCAAGTCGCTCCTACAAGGAAGATCAAAGGAGGCACACATTACAGGGATGCGCTCTCACTAGTCCACCTTTCTGGCTAAGGAAATTTAAATTCTTTGATGCAAATCAAATGCACCAAGGGAACTATTCTGCATTCCTGTTCGAGAGTCTCTCTGAAGGAAAAATACTGGAATAACTAAGGCCCTAACTCACGTGGTGGCAGATACAGATGTTATGAACAAGAAACTGATTGCCCAGCAGAGAAACAAAATGCTAAAATTCTAAAGTCACGGTTGTTTGTAGAGCCCTATTCCAGTTACTACAGCCTTCACAAGGTACTGTCAGAGGATTTCTGCTGATAGGGATCACCAGATATTAGTAATAATAGTTTTTAAAATGAAAAACATGACAATCAGGATACAACACTGCTACAAACTGTATACATTTGTCGAGGAATATTTCATACAATTCTGTTAAGCTTTTTGGCTCTATATTGCTGCTCTGAATGTAACAAATGTTTTGTTGCTCTCAGTCCTCATTTGCTGCATACCTGGGTCTTCGTGGTTCCAGCAGGGTCAGCAAGACTTGGATCCCATTGACTATGACAGATTCGCTCTGTTCTCCATCCAGCATATTGCTTAGCAGCTGCTCAATTGTCTCCTGTCTGGATGCAGGGGAATGGAAATTGTTTTTACTAAACTGTCCCATGATCTTAGACCTGGCTATTTAATTTTTCATCTTTGCATGTGCCACAATGACATAAAAAGAGGGAGAATAAAAAAGTAACAAAAATGAGATTTATTTATTTTTTTACTTAGGAATTGACCCCCCCCCCAAAATAGAGGAAGCTCAAGAGAGAGCACCTTTTGGTATTAGCCAACTAGTAATCCTTGGATTTGACTCTGAACTATGTAGCAACATGAACTTTCACAATTAAGGGGAGAACCTTCAAACCTTTCTGAGCTCCAAGATTCTGAAACAATATTCTGTGCAGATCCTTTATACTTGAGTGTAACTGTAAGCAAAGGAAAAATCTAATGGAAAAAGGTCCGATGATCCTGTCAAATGATATTCCTGGTAACTGACGTTCCACTCTCCTCCCCCCTCCCCCTCCCAGGCATACTTAAAAAGCTAACAAACTAGAAGCTTGCACTCCTGCCCTATAATTAAAGCTTTGTTGTGTCTTGCTACTAATCTGACATTTTTAAATATAGGGGAATGGATCTAATTAACTGAACATAATTTGTGAAAATTAGTTGCTTTAAATCTAGCTTTTGTCTTGGCCCTGTCCCTTTCTATAGTCTAGTTTTACTCCATCTTTGGAATGTGGCCAGTAAAAAGCCATATATGACCTTCAACTTGAAAAAGGCTGTGCACTTAGCTGCTCTATAATGTTCCAAACATTACTTTTTTATTGAGAGATATGAAGCAAAGAATTTTGGATGGTCATTCAGCAATACAAGTCCTCCAAGACTGCAGAATGACTCTGAAGGTTTAATTTCAAGCCATGCTTTAATGGGCTGGGGAAAGCTTTTTCAAGAAATTTCTCGGTGTATTATGTGATAAAATTGCTATGTCCTAATTATGAAAACAAGTTCCTGATGAAGATTGACCTAGCACCATTCTCTTTTTTTTTTTTTTGCCACCAGACCAACTACAAAATCCATTTCTCTAGCATTAATTATTTTTAAACCCACAGTATTTATTAAATTTGTTACATCTGATTATTTCATGTAATTTTGACTATTTCTGCCGTTTATTAACATTTGATATTGTTCTATATAGCTTGCTTCATTATCTCAGAGGGTGAACAGTGTTTTTAAAGTATATTAAAGAAACCAGGAACTTTAAGGAGAGATCTCGAATATTAACAGCCAAACACGGAAGCCAGCTGCTGGGGTCTGTCAGGATAAGAGCAAGATACGTTGCATTTCTATACCAGTGGAGGCATTTTAACAACAGGAGAGGGGCGTAACACACAGAGTCAAAAAACAAAGCTGGGAATATTTCATTAAGAAATGACACTAGCTGAGTAAAGCAACACCACTCAGTTTTCATTTGACAAATAACAATGGTATTGAACTCTTTGAGTTAGTTCAAAGCCTGAATATACCACATGTGTGGGGTTTTTTTAAGCCTTGTGTATAATTCCCAGAGTCCTTCATGCAGTTGCCAATAAGCTAAAAGTGTTGATGTGACAGAAGGGGGAAGATATTAAATACAGGGGAAGTAATCATATTAACTATATTTAGTAGTAGTAGTAGTAGTAGTAGTAGTAGTAGTAGTAGTAGTAGTAGTAGTAGTAATAATAATAATAATAATAATAATAATAATAATAATAATAATAATAATAATAATAATATAAAAAAAAGTTGGAAGGGACCTTGGAGGTCATCGAGTCCAACCCCCTGCTCAGGCAGGAACCCTACACCAATTCAGACAAGTGGCTGTCCAGTCTCTTCTTAAAAACTTCCAGTGTTGGAGCATTCACCGCTTCTGGAGGCAGGTTGTTCCATTGGTTAATTGTTCTAACTATCAGGAAGTTTCTCCTTAGTTCTAGGTTGCTTCTCTCTTTGGTTAGTTTCCACCCATTGCTTCTTGTCCTGCCTCTAGGTACTTTGGAGAATAGCTTGACTCCCTCTTCTTTGTGGCAGCCCCTGAGATATTGGAACACTGCTATCATGTACCCCCTCGTCCTTCTCTTCATTAAACTAGACATACCCAATTCCAGCAACCGTTCCTTATATGTTTTAGCCTCCAGTCCCCTAATCTTCTTTGTTGCTCTTCTCTGTACTCTTTCTAGAGTCTCAGCATCTTTTTTACATCGTGGTGACCAAAACTGGATGCAGTATTTTAGTTGTGTAGACTCTGTCCACTTTTGGGACTGAAGCCCTAGCAACCCAGTGAAAGATAAAACTGACTGCTCAGCCTCATTATAGCCTTGAACTCAAAAAAGGAGGTAGACCACTGAAAACAGGTTAACCTATTTCACTTATAATTGAAACTAGACAACCTGTGCATTGTTGGGTAATCATTTCAGAGATATTTCCTTAATAATTACCTAAACAGAGAAACAGCATGACCAAGGATCAAGGGCAAAAAAGAAGTGGGAGCAGGAGCAACTTCTGAATTCCTGCCTGCTCCTCCATTAAGTTTTCGTGAGGGAATCTTTTATTATTATTATTATTAATTTGATTTATTATTAATTTGATTTATATACCGCCCTTCTCCCGAAGGACTCAGGGCGGTGCACAGCATATTAAAAACAAGTAACAATACAATAAATACCAAAATAAAAACCCCTCTAAGACCAAATTAAAAGCCAAATATTGGTAGCTGTGTCGTAATTAAAAATTATATTAAAAATCGTCCCTAACTAAAATCCTCCCTAGGTC